CTGGAGAGAGGGAAGTCTGGGCATCTTTGCTTAGACTGCTGCCCCCGCGACCCAGTCCCGGATAAGCGGAGGAAAATGGATGGATGGATGGATATAAAACCCTGAAACAGACACAAGACAGCTGTCCTGTATATAGATTTTTTAAAACATTATAGCTTATGTTTTTATATACATGTAAAACACCTTTTGATAAATGCCACTTAAAAAAAAACTCACAGACCCATGCTGTTGTACTAAATATAAAAGTGTCACTGTATTGGTCAAATGCTGTACCTTCACGTTTTCTATACTTCTGCTTTTACCTGCTAAAAACATTACTGATGACTGTGTTAAACCACTTGTGAGCATGACATTGTCTCCTTCTCGCTCTCCTGCAGGGGTCTTCTGTTTAAATTGATATGGCCGCTACACTTCGGAAGCCTAACTCACTGTATTTGGGCTTGTGGATCTTCCTTCTGCTCCTCAACCTCCTTCCTCAAGCTAGGTACAACAACATACTGCATCTCACCCCCTCACAGTTTCAGTCTACTTGTGCTGGATATTTACTATTGTCTTTCCTCTCAATCCACTTCATTTCCTCAGCTCTGCTGTTGTTTTGGTGGGGTGTTTTATATAATTCCTACTTTACTCAGGCTCACTGCGCAGCACACACTGTAATCTAAGCAACACCATTAGAAGCAAATTTTCATCTATACTATAAGTAGTTAAAAGACAGCAAAGTTTACATTCTGGGCAGATATTCATAAAACCCATTTTGTCTTACTGTAAATTAGGCCAAAAAAGAGCAGACACAAAGGGAGCCTATTCTCCTATCTAAATGTAGGTTGTGTTCTCATCAGTGTTGATCATCATTTTCACTGACTAGTGAGTTATGATTATCCATTCACAGCATTTTCACTCCTGCTTCCTGTGCACTTTTTTTAGTTTCTAAGGAAGCATCAGCTAAAAAGAAGCTGAACCATGTCTAGGAATCATTTTATTCACGCCCCCTGTACTTTCCAATGAAGATACTGCTCAGGATGCCATGTTAGCACTGTGGGACAAACCTGCTGGTTGACACCACACACACAGTAATCTTGTGTACCACTGGTCTGGGGCTATTTTTCATTGTTTGGACTAGACCACTGAGTTCCAGTGAAGAATAACATTAATCCTATAGCATTCAGCAAAATTCAAGCCACTTTGTTTGCTTCTGAGATTATTCCAATGGTTTGTGGAAGACCTGTTCTTGTTTCAACATGACAATACCTTCTGCACAAAGCCCAGAAGAAATTGTTTTCCCAGTTTGGCGACTTGACTGAGGCTTGTCCTTAAACCCATTCAGCACCTTTGGAATGAGGTGAAACGCTGACTCTGAGCCAGGCCTTATCACCCAACATCAGTAGCCAACCTCACTAATGTTTTTGGCACCGAGTAAAAGCTAATCCCTGCAGTCAAGTCTCAAAATGTTTTGGGAAGCTTTCCCAGAAGACTGGAGGCTATTGCAGTACTAGATTAAAATGACTATAACAGTGGCTGCATTTTTAGTTTGTCTGTTTTGGGGATTTTTTGTTTTTGTTTTTGTTTTTTTACTCATCACAGTTCTCATTTTCAAATATTATTTTATATTTAGTTTGTCTAATTTTTATGGTGGAAAATAGATCACCGACAAAGATTAGTTTTTGTCAAAGATTCTACTGACCACATTGACAAAATAACTTTCATACATCATTCAATCAACTAACAAATTTTTACGAAACTCATGTCTGATCCTTTTTCACAGCTTCTGAAGTGAATGCTATGCTACAGCTAAATGGAGAAGCTCTATTGTCAGACCTTCACTTCAGCAAAGTTAACACCATTAAAATGTAAAACTATTAATGTTGAGTACCTTTAACAAGAACCAGCGTGGACGTGAGTCTCATTATGATGCATTATAGCTTAACTGAGCCCAAGGTGGAAGGTAACTCAATATATGTACTCATTTACTGTACTCAAGTACAACTTTGACCTTGGTTTGATTATTCAGCATGAAGCCAGAAAAGGAGACTGGTGACAGAATTAGACTACATTAGTATTCATGATGTTAATAATGGAATATGTAAAATATGAAAAAATCATTAGATGTAATGAGAACAGCAGGCGAATAATGGAAAAGTCTTGACATGTTCAGAGACAGAAGATTGTCCTCACACCCTTTCCAGCAGGACCTAAACAGTCAGTTGCCATTCATTATGCATGGACCTAAAAGCACGTGACAAGGATTTTCACTAATGTTAATCTTTCTGCAATTACTTGTGACATGATGTGTGATATGCAGAGTCCTTGCACACCAGTCTTTACACAGTTTAGCCTGTACTACTGAAAAAGAGGCTTCACACTGGTTCATTTGAGAAAAGACATTTTTGTCTGTTGCCTCGCAAAAAATCCAAATCTTATAGTGAAAGTACATATAATGATTTAATTGTTGATCAAACTTCAAAATACTGAAGTTTAGAAGTAATCCTCAGAGCCTCAGAATGCACATGCTTCCAGATTATTCGTATCAGCATAGCTCCCTGAGAATTGCCACCTCCCTGACACCCACTGATACTATCTACAGGCTGCAAATCACTTTACCAGGACACTTCCCTAATGGATTAAATAAGAGTTTGTTGTTATGCATATCACCAAATTTCCTCATTTCCCAAGCACTCAAAGAAGGGCATGATTAAGCTATTATTCCCTAAATTCCATGCATGACATATGAAAGATAAGGATATGTTTATTTCCCAAGGAAAGTCTTGCTCACCTTACTTCCAACCCCCACCTTCCACTTTCATAGTCATCACTTAACAAATGTGGACAGTATTTGTGGCAGTGGTAAAGGTGTTAATACTACTTTGGTACAGATTTGAACCCTTTCAGTGAGTGGTGATTAACCCTCCATTATATATATTTAACAGCAAGTTAAAGTTGCTTTTCATCTTGTTGTCTGTACTGTGACTAGTGTCAGAAATTACCAACCAATACATGCCTCCTGCTTTAGTTTACTGGAATCAAAACAGCAACTGTATGCAGCCATGTTGCTAATTTTAGGGAAAATGTTTTTCTTGAATTATTATTATTAGAAGTGTATTTTATTAGTTAGCCCACCAGGTATTGTATCATTTTACTCACCAGCTTAACTGGTGAAGGTTACATTGGATCCAAATTATCTTTACAGTCAAGTCCCCAGGCATAGAACAGCAATACAGGTCAAGTGTTTGTTATATTCATCAACAGCACTAGAAAACTGAATGCAATTAGTATAAGTACAGTGGATGAAAGTGGAACCACAAACTAGCTCAGTGAAATCTAATGGACACTTAAAATGGATGGTCAGTGTGATTAATTCAACCTTCACCTTGGTTTTCACTTTGTGATAAGTGGTTTAGATAAAAGGGTAAAAATGGATTTGTTTAGCAAGTGTGCTGCTGTTTGCCCTGCAGGCTGTGGAGTAATCCCTATCTCAGCTACTGAATAAAATTATAATTGATGGGAATAATGGCCACATGCTTGAAAATAAAGCTAAGAGTTATTAAAAATGTTCTCATGTCCTTAATTGTTTTGAAGATTTAATGATCTGTTTCCTAATTACCTTGAGTTCCTGCTAATATTCTATTTATACTGGAGCTGGTAAATTAGAAAGACTTGATATCCTAGAGAAGGCGTAGAATAGCAACTGGCACTAGAATTACCACTTCACGTTTGTATGCCTCCACAAACTAGCCAAATTCACAGGTATGGTACAGAAGTGAGGTCACTGACCTTTGACCACCAACAACTAATTAGTTCATCACTGACTACTAAATTCCCTCAAGGTGTTCCTGAAATATCACATTCACAAGAATGGGTGATACGGATAGATGGACGGACAGACAACCCGAAAAGAACATAATGCCTACAGGCTGGCACGAAGGCATAAAAATGGTGCTAGTACCATCCCAAATTTTAATTGATTTGTTATCTAATTACCCCTGTGGTAGACTGGCGACCTTTCCAGGGTGTGCTGCTGGGATTGGCTCCAGCTCCCCCGCAGCCATGTTTAGGAATAAGTAGTAAAGATAATGGATGGATGAATATTATCAAACAAACTGCAACAGGAACCAATTTCCCAGAAGGCAACTACACAACTGTACACTGAACACAGATCACTAAAGTTTGATGTTTCTCAGGCTGAACCTTCACCTCATTAGATTAAATTGTGTTTTTTGTGTTGGTGTGTTTTTGCCTTTTTTTTCTGTCAAGAAAATGGTTCTGGCTCACTTTCCATGCAGCACTGTTTAAAATGCACAATTATTTTAGTACATCCCACATTCTTTGCCACCAGCAACATCCACCATCGACTCCTTCTGAAGCTGAATCTGAGTCTGGAGTAATACTGTGAATGAACAAGCCATTCAGTACACATTAAAATTCATAAACCTACTGTACATTAATTGTGCCAACTCAAAGTGAACAAAGGTTTGTAGAGGCATTCCATCTAGAACTGTAGAAGTACAGTTAAACAAATACATTTTTATTAATCACTAAAGATGTTTTGTGCTGCTGCTGGTAAATAAACTCATTTATACTGCACACTCCTTCTTGTTGCTAGAAGCTCAAAGCAGATGAACAGGCTGAATCCTAACTACCCCACAATCCCACTCCCAACATGGACTAAAAACCATCCATCCATCCATCCATCTATACCGCTTATTCCTGAATAAGGTTGTGGCTGGAGCGAGGAGGGGTACACTTTGGACAGGTCACCAGTCTATCACAGGGCTGAATAAAAAACAGTTTCCAAAAGTTACAGATAGATATAGATATAAAAATGGATGACATGACAGCTCCCATAAATGAAGCCATCACAAGTTGATTGCCCCCTGGTGGATGGTTTCAGTATAGGCAAATTAACATTCAAAGAACAAATCAAATAATTTTTTCCCCCAAAGGTGAGTGGTAATTGTCTGGTAAATTTGTTTATAATAAATTATATTTTATTT